TTTAGGTTGGGTTTAGGGTGGTTTTAGGTTGGCTGAGGGTAGGTTTAGGGTAGGTTTAGGGTGGGTTTAGGATTGGTTTAGGGTTGGTTTAGGGCGGGTTTAGGGTTGGTTTAAAAGTTGCGCAGGGTCGGTTTCAAGGTTGGTTTGTAGGTTGGTTTTGGGTTGGTTTAGGGTGGGTGTAGTTTGGTTTAGGGTCGGTTTCGGGTAGGAGAGCAGGCCAGGAGACCAGCAGACCAGGAGACCAAGAGACCAAGAGACCAGGAGACCAGGAGACCAAGGACCAGGAGACAAGACACAGGAGACCAAGGACCAGGAGACCAGGAGACCAGGAGAGCAGGGGACCGGCAGACCAGCAAAAAGCAGGAGAAGGAAATCAGCAGACCAGGAGACCAGGAGACCAGGAGACCAGGAGACCAGGAGACCAGGCGACCAGGAGACACGGGGACCAGGACACCAGAAGACCAGGGACCAGGACCAGCAGGAGACATGGGGACCAGGAGACCAAGGACCAGGAGACCAGGAGACCAGGAGAGCAGGGGACCGGACACTAGGTCTCAATAATTTGTTGTTGATCCCCTAAATATTTTTTTGTTGATCCCCAAAATAATAATTTTTTGATGCTCATCCCAGGATATGATACAAAGACTCCCCGATGTGCAATTGACAGACTATCCTGGAGCTCATGCTAAACAAATACACACAAAGGAAAACACAAATACAGAGTCAAGGCGAGTAAAAAACGCGAGCCGCACGGGTGAAGCATCAATGTTACAGGGCTTGAGGCATTTTGTACATAGCATGCTGCTCGATATCAGCGCTTTTAAGCCCAGCAATGGTTGACCGAATGCTCAAACTTCTCTGCCAAGTTGCCAAGGAAAGACGTCGAGCCAAGCCTTGAAGATTCCCGAGATCAAGTGTCTAGAAGCAAGGCGGGGCAAAATTGTTTCAAACAAGCAGACCGTTCCGCTTCAAAGGGCATCTACGTAAGAGGTTCTTCCAAGAATTCGCGGCTCAAACGAGGTGACAAACAAGCATTGCCCAAGTCTGCGGTCAGTCAGACCTTCCCGATCTCGCGCTTCTGCACAGGCCGGCCTCGGCATCTTGAAGGAAAGCTCTTCTCCTGGGGTCAGATTCAGTCGCTGACTGGCTGGGGGAGGGGACAATCACCTTTTCAACACGTGTTGGTCCTGTAAAATGGCGCTGAGAAATTGGGGACCGGTTTGGCCATAATTTTCTGTTATCCTCAATAAGGTCCACTGTTGGATGCCACCAAACTCCACTAAGGCCACGAGGATGGTGTCCAAAGCCGCTTTTTGAGAGCACATGTTGGTATTTCCATTTGATTTCTTTCTTTTTGTTCTTGCTTCCTTCCTTCCTTCATTCCTTCCTTCCTTCCTTCCTTTCTTTCCTTCTTTCTTTCTTTCTTTTTGTCTTTCTTTATCGTGTTTTTTTCTTTATTTCTGTCCTTTTTGGTGTTGTTTCTCTCTCGTTCTCTCTCTCTCTCTCTCCCTCCCGCTCTGTTGCTGTCTGTTTGTGTCTGTGTGTCTCATTTTGTCTCAGTTTGTCTCCGTCTCCCTCTCTCTCTCTCTCTCTCTCTCTCTTGGCTTATCTCTCCTCTCTTTTACCTCATCTACTCCCCGGCAGCTGGCTAGTGACACTGTTGAGCCTACAAATTCAGCCGCTCCCAACGCAGATTTTTCTAGTCTGGAGTGTGTGCTATCCGTGGCATACTGTGTTAATCAGTTTGGCTTACTCGTGACGCTGAAACATTGACTCGACAAGCCCAGGCTGTCCTCTTAAGGAAGTACAAGTTCTCATCCTGATCATTGCCAAGCTCCTCCTGGGGCGCTCGCTGCATTGGAGAACTCCAGTGGAATTGATGCTGTTCTGAAGGGGACACCAAAAGGCCAGCCACTATGCAACAGGGGTGTGGCAAGTCATCCACGTGTGCATCTTTGCAAGGCCTCTCAATTTGCATTGGTGTTCTTGGCAGCTTGGCAGGAAACAATGCAACCTTCTCCATGACAGAGGGTGTGGACAACCGAACTCATGTGGGAAGATGATGTGCTTCAGGAGAAAGTGCTGCTCTTTGGGAAAAGGAATAACAGCAAGTTGAAGGGTATATATGACATACCATGAGAAGTCTTCAATCGAAAGGGCTCTGGCCCGTGTCAGTGAGTGTTTTACAGCCACTTGAGTTTGAACAAAGTTCTGTCCAAAGCGATAGAACGATCTACAAAGGCCCAAAGCCTCTTCTACTGCTGTCAGGTAATATCCCCCACCCTCGATCATCTTTGCCGATGAGCCCGGCAGATGTACGTTCCTTTCAAGCTGGCATTTCTGTGTGTTTCGGAAAATGCCCAACCTGCGCATGGCTCAGTCGGCATGCATTAGAGAACAAGCTGCGCACTGGTCGCGCAATGATTGCAATAAGCTATCTGCCTGCAAAAGCACAAAAGGCGGAAAGGCATGGTTCGGACATTTGAAAAATAGTTCAGGCCAACTGCTTCGCAGCGGCATGCACCTGCCAAAGGGCAAAATGGTCCTGCGGGAATTGGCTCGCTCAGTGCTTTGCACCGCAATCACCACAAAGTGCCCCAGCGACGGCGTGCCCGCAGCTGGGGTACAAGTTGGATCCTCCGCCTGCACCGGCGGCCGGCAGCGCGCCAACGACGAGGGCGTCGGGCCCCATCTGCTGCATTCTGTCCTGGGATTCCTTCATCAGCGCCTGCCACTTGCGCTCCTTTCGCCACCTCCACCAGAACGAAAAGACGACCACAACAACGACGCCAAGTGCAGTAGCCACCCCAGCAACTATTACTCCAGTCGAATCCCATATGCGCCCTTTCGCCATGCTCAACACTGCTCATAAAAGAGGTGAGCTCGCATCGAATGGCTCCACGTTCCGCCAAGCTGCTCTACATGAACGCGTGTTTTTTGAGCCGCAGCACTCCTGCTCAGCAAGCCGGATAGTTGGGCATCGCCTCCCCCGTGGACGCTCAATAGACCCAAGCTTGAGGCAGTCACACATGTCTACTCTACATTCACGCTCTCCTAACAATGAGCTGCACAGCTTGGATCCAGCAGGGTGCCTATAGTTTGTTTCAGGCGGGATGTTTGCCAATGCCCTGAGCAACCATTACAAGCAACAAAAGCACCACATCTATTGAGCACCAAGGCTTTGGCCGTGCTCTCAAGCAAGCGATCTGGCATGGTCAACCTTAGCCTCACGGCGAAGACACAACATGAACCGGTTGAACAAGAGTTTTGGAGAAGCAGCGCATTTTCGTCTTGCAGACAATTGTGAGTTTCTATTGTCTAATAGTCAATATGGCATGGCAGCTGCACAAAGCCCCCAGAAGTGTCACACAATGTCGGCCTCTAAGTAAACCCACGGCTGAGCGGACCCTTTGGTTAACATCTGGACTCATGAAGGGTTTGTGAATCAGAGGTTCAAGAATCACAGTCCAGCCCAGCTTAGATGTGACAATGATTTCCTAGCGGAGAGAGACACATGCCAACATGTCTTTTGTCGAAACTGGGGGAGACTCGTGAACTGCAAATGGTGTTGTTCTGCAAAATCAAGCCCCAGGGATCGACTGTCACTCCACATTTCAAATGACACAGGCCAGTGACCCGCATCAGTTTTCTCCTTGTCAGATGCAGACGGACGAGCGCACACATCCATCCTGAGAAGCAGAGACAAGGCGCGCAATCCTGAAGAGTTTCACACAAAACAAAAGCTGGAGGTAGAAAGTCATATGTGAACCTCTGGTACTCACCCTCACCTGATGTGGTGTTCTTAGCCATTGATTCTGCCATGGGAAACAAGCCGTCAAAAGGGCCAAACTGTGGTTCCGAGGTTCACATAGGGGTTCCTACAATCGGCAAGTCAATCAGACCCGGAGTTCCGAGGCCTCGAACCCTTGTCACGTGTGCTCATCAGGGCCTCCGATCCAACATTAGTTGGTAGGCAAGTGCTGATAAATCTATTGCTGGGACACGAACCAAACACTAGTTTATGATTGTCACTTGGCCAAACACCCTGATGCTATCCAAAAGTGGGACCCAATGATCAGAGTCCATGGCAGTCTGCTGAGTTAGGGCCAATCACGCCCAGCAGTTGTGCACAGGACCTTGAGTCGGGGTCGGCTTGTGGCCTCCAAACACAATGCAGAGGCAAAAGGATTGTTGCTAGGCTAAAGAAGGATTGCTCAAATGCGAAGGTGATAGAACCCGGATGGGTCAGACACATACACAGTGCTCTGAGAAAGAACACAAGCACATACACGCCTGGAGTTTCATGTCTGCATCGACAAACAAGCACGCCTTGACACCGGGCATGCGGCATGCTTCCCCTTGCTGGCCGCTCCTTTTCAGGATCAGAAGCCATGAGAGGCCGGCGTCGTCTTTGGCGCGGCCGTAAAGTGAGCTCTGAAGCTCAGAAAAGGCCCGGAACTAGGAGGCCACCCAACGGACCTACATCCCAATTCGGCCAAAACCAAGTGGGATTTATGTTGGATCATGTCCTTCTTTACGCAACATAGGGTAACAGCAAGGTTCCAACATTGGCTTTCTTGGAGTGAGCCACATCGGCTTGATTTGGCCAAACTGTCCAGAGTGACCCCGGGAGAACCGGCCGGAAGATCATCTGTACATTCTGCACACAGAAAAACCAGCTCAAACCAGCTGTGCGCCTAATGGGGTGCCTAAGCCTGCAGGTGAACACAGGTCAAAGGCTTGACCAAAAGCAATAACTCGGAAGACGCCGCTATTGGCTCTGGTAGGGAACCAACTGGCAAAACAAACGGAAGAATTGCCAGACGCTGCAATGAACGGCACCCCACTGTATCTGCCTCTGTGCCTGGAAGGCACACGCAAGGATTCAACGCCGCGAGTGCACTGGCAAAGTTATTGGAGTTAGGCCCGGCTATGAATCTAAAAAAGAACGTCGATTCATGCTTGACTTGTGAAATGTGACATGTATCCAAGGGCTGCGCTCAAAGCAGCAAAGCCTTTTCTACCAGGTCGTTTTTCTCGAAGCAATCGATGGTGCTGATGCCGGCATCCATGAGCAGCGCTTTGAGCTCCTGTCATCTTTTCCGGGTAGATTTTCAACGTGAGTCGCGAAGATTGCAGAACAACTGCAGCCGGGTCCCTAACCTTTGAGACGCACTCTAGACTGCAAACACCTGGAGCTACATTGAGGGTGTGGGAGTCTCAACAAGAAATATGTCCCTCTCGCCGGCCACACAACACGTTCCTCTCGACGTTATCAAAGCTTTGCGGTTTTACTCGTAGAGCAAGCTTGGCTTTGCAGTTCTTGGGCACAAGCTGCCTTGGAATTGATTTGCCCCTTGGTCTGCCAGTGAAGCGCGGCCATGCCATGGATATGAGCCACGGTCAAACAGACAAATAGTTGGGGAGCAGCTTCTTTCCAACAGGACTTCGAGTGTAAACAGTGTCATCCCCTTGACTACAGTATATGCACCAAAGTGAAAGTGGACTTTTGCTTATGTGATGATGAACCCATTCGTCAAAGGACAATCCATCCTTTCCGTATGCTAAGCAGCACTTTCTGAGAGTTGCCTCGACGAACATGTGCCCCTCGCTGTGTCCGCTACCTGTGGAACATCCGTTCCTTTATTTGCTGGGTGTTGCCTGGAATATGTGTTTTTGGTGGCTAGCTGCTACTTAGGGGGAATAATGGTAGACCAACCAAATCCGGCATCGAAATTGGTAGGAAAGGCCGCCGTGAGAAAAGGGAGACGGATGGCCAGCTCAACATCTTTGGGCGGTTGGCTGACGCCACAATGCTCATGTTGGAACCATATTTTGATTGCACCACAAAGCCAAAAAAGCTGTGCCTCCGCTTTACATCTGTGGCTTGCAGGGGCCAAACCAACTTCTTCGTAAGCTTCCGATCGAACCATAAACCAAGAAACAAAGCAAGCTCCACAGCCCACAGCTCTGGTGATTCTTTGCGGCCATTGCTGTCAAATTTAGGTTTGCAGAGATTAAGCAATTGTCCAACCCCTTGGATCTTCTTCAACTAAAATTCGGTATGCCTATTCTATTAGGTTGGGATTTCAACGAAAGCCAAAAGGAAGGAAGCCAGCCAATCGTCCACCCTCATTCTAATTTGAAAACACCCACAAAAGACAGTTTTCAGGCAAGGGCTCTCAAGGAAAACCCCAAAAGGACCTTGCCCTTTTTAGGCGTCCCATGTCTGGCAAACAAACACCTAACAAAGAGGCCGTCATGGCTCCCGATAAAACTTTGCAACACCTACATAAAACGGAGCTTGGTCATTTGAGCAGCGCCACAAAACCATCGACATTTGACTCCAGCAACATACTGACATGTTTGCTCTATTCTTGTCAAACCACTCAGTAGAACCACCGGGCACCCAAATGGCGGAGTTGTTCAGCGCTGCTCAGATGAGTCATACTCAAAACCCGGTACAAAAATCCTAGAACCATGCAAAGGATTGAGAAGGCAGCCGCAGCTATTTCATGGTTGGGATCGGCCCTTACTGACCTTCATCTAACCGGGTTTTGATTGTGACTCAGACTAGCGAGCCTTGAGCCTCATATTGCAGCCGAGCCTTCGCCGTAAGCTTCTCCAGGCTCTTGCGGCCGCCGCCCACGCTGGGCCGGCGAAGGCGCTGCCGCAAGAAAGCAGCGACGTCTGCAGCCTCCTGGGGGGGCTTCGTACAACCCGTGGCACAGAAGTGGAGTGGATGTTTGGATTCTGGCAACAAAAGCATTGGATCGCAAGTGGCATCAAATGGACATTATGACCTTCTGGTTTCCTTTGAAGCACTGTCCGCGGTCCCACATATGGATGGTTGCCCAAGATAAGTTGTTCGCCCGCTTTTGGCAACCTTGGTGACATATGAACCACCAGTGGCCATTCGCACCAAGATTTGATCTGTTGGTGGCAGAAAGTGTCCGTGTCTCTCGAGGGACCCCACACGTAACTTCTCCTCAGCTTCTCACCACTTCCAGAATTTCCGGAAAGGCCCCGGTTCAACCCATGAGCCCTGCACCACCTCGTCAACAAAAAGGCGATCCATTTGGGGAATCGCTGCAACATGTGGCAGACAAATAACCTGTTGGGCGGCGCTGCAGGTCCGCTGCTAGCATGTGGGTAAAATATCTGCCCATTGCCAACGATTCGTGCAAACATGGACAGTTTCCTAGAAAGATGCCCTCCATCCGACAACTAGGAAAGCCGAAGCAGGAAAATTGCAAGCGGCGGAGGAAACTACTTCCCGAAACCCCTGCCGTCTTTCCGCTTGCAGTAGCACCCAATTGAAGTCAAACAAACCATTTCCATTCCAGTTGTAGCAGAATAGCATTCTCCTTCCAATTTCAAAAAGGGTCAAACGCCAATTGCCCAAAGTGGCTGCGGTTTGCCTGTCAAGTGCCATTTCAACGAGAATCCTAGCTACCCCCACTTGCCCGTAGCTTTCGCTGGAGAAGAAAAGCTATACATCCGCTGAATGCGCAAGACCAACAAAATACAAAGGGAAACGCGCATGTATATACGTGATGAACATGAATAGGCATCATGAATTGCGTCTACTTGTTTAATCCTCCTGAAGGCCCTTCATGTGACCATGTTGGCAGGATTCTTTGCCTTGTCGACCTTTAACAAATCATTGAAAACGATCAATTTCAGTGACTTCACAAATTGACCAAGCGCAGATAGACGGACGTGACTCTGTTTCTAAATCAAAGGGGCTCCTTTCGCTCAGGCAAAGCCAGGGGTTCAGAGCGGAAGAACCTCTGGGCTCACCCAAGCTCCTCCGGGCAATAGGCGTGGCCCATGCCCGGATAGCTCTTGAAGTCCACAGTCACGCCTGCCCGCGCGGTGAAACATCGGTATATGACGGTTGTCTGAAAATCCTTGTTCCGCAAACCGCCATCTTCGCGAGAAAAAAATAACTTTCGCGGACCCCATCGCGGAACTTTCGCGCGGCTGTTTTCAGAACATTCATTTAAAAAAAAAAATCACGAAGTACACTTTCGCAGCCCCAGCGCGAAAGTCGCAGCTCTTCAGTGCTTGAATGCGAAAGTAGTACACGAACTAAACTTCCTCAGCCTCGAAAGTCAGAGATGTTCAATACGAAAGTAGTACACAAAGTGAACTTCCGCAGTCCCAGCTCGAAAGTCGCGACCTTTCAGTTCCAAAGCTTCCGCAGCTCCAGCTCACAAGCCGCAAGCTGCGCATGAGAGGACCCGTTGGCCTCATGTCCGGAAACTGGCGGGGAGGTCCGTCGACTTTCGCGAAACTTTCGCGGATCTTACGCCAAACATTCGCGAAAATCCGGCTGGAAGTTGCGCTCAGCTTGCCCCGACAGCTTCAAAACTCCCTGCTGGCTGGGGGTTGCTTTTGCAGCGGCGTATTCTTGCGGCGACCCTCAGGCTGCGCATTCTCCGACCAACTTTACTCTGCGGGCATTCTGCGCGCACTGCCGGTAGATACACATGGTTCATCACTCCAGCTTCCTGTTAGCAAGCCACCCAAAACTTTCGCGGAAAAAAATAACTTTCGCGACCCCCTTCGAGGAACTTTCGCAAAGGTCAACGCTAAGACCAAAAGGTCGTCCCCTTCATAGCTCAATACAACGACCTTTCGGGCGGCTCTCCTTTGTTGGGTGCTGTTTTCATTAATTAAGGAAAAGCAAAGGAAACTACTAGCAATGGCCATGGGCGGGCCCTTAAAAATTATGTATCATTGAGTAGGAACATGTGCTACATACAAACCGGCTCGATCGTGACGCGAAGCTGCTGGCAAAAGACCGAGGATAACCGAGGCGGGCCGGCGCTACCGTTCGATGTTGCTGCCTGCGGCTGCCCGCGTGTTATGACGTTAACGGAGTTATGATGCCGTCGAGAGATCTCGGAGAAGTTCAAGGTTCAAATCTGGCAGATGTGAGAAGTTAGTTCGGTGGAGCGGGGGGTGAGTACATGAATGCATATATATATAATGTGCATCATCCTCATCGCGACACAAACCCGACGACGCGTACACGCGCGCAACGGCCTTGCGAGATTGTGTCCGAGATTGTACATCATGTGGCATCATGCGTGTCAACATCATCACAATCATCATCATAAGGTGGACCTGGCGATGGGAATGGTGAAACAACCGACGATGGCGCAGGCTTGCCACATCATCCAAGACCTTCAGCTTGCACATTGCGTCATGGTCCAAGGCGAGCAAGCGGCACTTGGGGTAGGGTCGCGGCTCTTGCAGCGAGCTCATGCACGCGCTCTGCAAGCAAGAAATTCAAGCCGCCCAGACGTGCTTCCAGATTCCAGGTCTGCCTGACGCACACGGTGCGCATGCGCGGTCCACCTGGCAATCACAGCCGAGGGACAAAACTCATCTGGCAAGCACCACCCGCCTTGGCTGACGATGACAACGCGACCAGATTTCCGATCACACACGCAAACAAAAGACAGATGCGCAAATACGCCCGCAGCCGCAACGACAGTGGCACACGCAAACACTGGCACACACACACACACCCACCCACCCACGCACGCACGCACGCACAAGCACGCACACACACAAGCACACACACACACACACACGCACACACACACACACACACGCACGCACGCACGCACACGCACACACAAGCACACACACACACAAGCACACACAAACACACACCCACACACACATACACACACAAACACAAACACACACAAACACACACACACACACAAACACACACACAAACCCACACACACACCACACACCACACACCACACACCACACACCACACACCACACACCACACACGCGCACGCGCGCTCGCCCGCCCGCCGGCACGCCCGCACGCCCGCACGCACGCGCGCACGCGCGCGCGCACGCGCACGCACACGCACACACAGACACACACACAGACACACACAGACACACACACAGACACACACACACAGACACACACACACAGAAACACACACACACAGACGCACACACACAGACACACACACAAACACACAGACACACACACACAGACGCACACACAGACAGACACACACACAGACACACACGCAGACACGCACACACACACACACAGACACACACACACACAGACACACGCACAGACACACAGAGACACGCAGAGACACACACAGACGCACACAGAGACACAAAGCGCGGTAAAAGTGAAAGCCTGAAGTTGGTGACAGGGTATTCTGTCACTCCGCACACACACGCACACACACACACAGACACACACACAGACACACACACACAGACACACACACACACACACACACAGACACACACACACACACAGACACACACACACACAGACACACACACACACAGACACACACACAGACAGACACACACACACACACACACCCACACACACACACACACACACACACACACGCACGCACGCACACAAGCACACACAAGCACACACACACACACAAGCACACACAAAAACACACACACACACACACACACACACACACACACACACACACACACACACACACACACACACACACACACACACACACACACACACACACACACACACAGACACACACACACACACACAGACACACACACACACACAGACACACACACAGACACACACACACACACAGACACACACACACACAACGACACACACACACACACAGACACACACACACACACACACAGACACACACACACACACACAGACACACACACACACACACAGACACACACACACACACAAACACACACAAACACACACAGCCACACACACACATCAAGCCCTGAAGAACAACTCCCGAAGATCTGAAGGAGATGGTTGCAACCAAAGTTTAAGCGTCCACATGAGTCACCCATGTGCCGAAAGCATGGCCCCCCTCCAAGTGTTTGGGGTGGGCCAGGGTCTGATTGCATGCACTTGTTCTTTTGGTTACTCCTTGAAGAACAATCTGGAGGAGGGACCCCCCCGACAGCCCTCTAAAGAAACATCGGATCAGCAAATCTCGTGGGGTTTATGCTATCACAGGGGTCCCCCAAAATGATTTATTCCAATTCCACTGGAAGGAGCCCATTTCTGATCTGAGTGCCTGGGTTTGCCAGCTGATCATGCTTTGTCCTGAAAGCATAGAACCCCTCTTTCAAGCGGGCCGTGTGTTTGTTTCCCAGGAAGGCGTCAAAAGGTAAACCCTCATCCCGCGGGATTCTCTATGTTGCCCCTAAATGCCAATACCGTCTTTCCAAGGCGTTGTTCAAATTTGTGCAAGACCCCCAGGGAAAGTGCAGGAAACACCTGGCAAGGGATCTCATGCGGATCTCTGAAAGCCAAGAAATTATACTTGGAAAACAAGAGGGAAGGTAGAAGAGAAGCAAGACACCAACACAAACCAGGGAAACCCTCGAAGGCTCCTTTCCGATCTGCTTTAGACACTTAGGACAAAAGGTCTCCAGGTCTTTGGCAGGGGCCGACAGTTGGGACATGGAACCCTTATAAACCAATTGTTTGTGGTTTCCTTTAAAGGAATCCCAAAGGGGTTCATTCCCTCATTCCCTGCGATGGGCACCAGCAATGTGTTCCATTTTTGTTTGTGGCTTCCTCAAAACACCATGTGGTTTCCTTTAAAGGGATCCCAAAATCCCAAAAGGGCTCATTCCACTTCTCGCTCCCTGCCTACAGCGATCGCGTCAGACCCCCCGCCTTGGGACCTCAAGGTGGAGGTCAGCTCCTGGCCCGAGCTCAGCGGCACAGCGCCATCCGCCTCGCCGTGCACACAGAGAACCGGCAGGCGCCTGGCGAAACCAGCAGGGAGGTTTTGTAGACAACCGGAACCCCTCAAATGGGTGGTTTCCCTTTGGTTTTTCCATTTAGACAACCCATTTTTGGGGGGTACCCTCAAAAACAGCCTGCAAGTGAGGAGCCCCTTTGTGGATGTTCAGAGGGAAATCCAAGGCAATCATCCAGGTGCTTGATGGGTTTAATTATGCGTGTGTCAGCTTCCTTCTAAGTGGTTTGCACTGGTTTGGAGGACAGCAGGGACCAAATCATTCAAACATGCAACCTACGTATTCTGAAGCCTCTACTTTGTTCAAGTTCGGGCTCAAGCGTTTGCTGAACTTCTTGCATTTCGCCGAGGGAAACACACCTTGTCAGACACCGCAAAGATGCTATGGGCCATGGACAACGCTTCCAGCATGAGCACAGATCATGGTTCCCTCAGTGCAAACAAACTCTGATAGTAGTTGTCAGCCTGGCTGGCTTGAATGGGGGGGGGTCAGGGGTTCCCTTCATGTTCAATCTTTTCAGGAGGTTCACAATATGTAACCGGGTGTTTCCACCACGGCAGATTTAGACATGTGTCAGATTGAGGGTAACTCCGGTGGCTTCAAGGATGCCAACCCGCTGTACCACGCCATTGAGCCACCATCAAGCATATCCCGTGATCGTCAGGGTTCCAGGAGCCAAACCCAAACTTTGCCTTGGGCATGGGTCTTTTTGGGGCGCCTGAACAATAGCAATGCTGGCAGATGCTTCCAGCTCTCCTGATATGTCAGGAGCTCTTCAGAGGCTTGACCCTGTCAAGCGCCTGTTGGGCTCGGCAATGGTCACTGGGCTCCTGGGCAAAACGCAGACTTCAGGCCCGGATGTTTATCACGAGTTGCACACCCCGAATACAACAAACATGGTCGCAACCACCCGGCAAACGCTAAATTAGTTGGCCCTGTCCAATGGCAACGGTTTCATGTGAGTTGATTTCATTGAATATGAACCTAACAGTTCTAGCAGGATTCCCTGGCTATGGCACATACCCAATTGCCCCAGTGCTCTGTAGGTTGCTAGAAGTGTAAAATTCAAGCAACACTTCCCTTGCTGAGCAGCAGGAACTAGCCAAGTCAATAATTCGAATTGAGCCAGGTAATCAACATATACGTACGGCTGGAGGCTGGAGGCTTCACATTTGGTCACCACATAAATCGAACACTTTTCTCGACTCTAGCCCTTAATCGCATTGGCCAGCATTTTGCTCAGACTCAACCAAAGGTGAAGTGAAGGCAGCCTTCAAAGGGCAGCTTGAGCGCTGCAATTTAGAATCTGGGTACTGGATCGGGCCTGGAAAGAACAGGACACGGAATACCCCTCGTGTTCACCTTAAGAACTTGAACACATACGGGCTGTCGCCCTTGCTTGGACCAGCAACTCAGTGTCTAAAAGCTTGCGGCCGCAAACACCCACACACACACTCTCTCTCTCTCTCTCTCTCTTTCTCTCTCTTTTTGTCGCACGTGCCTCGGGCTGCAAATAATTACACTTCAGCGTAGCTTCCCAAAGCCATCTGCACAGTTCGAATTTTCTCTCCAACTCAAAACAACAACCACCGCAGAGCTTATCGTTTTGCTTGTTTAAATCAACAACATCACACAACTCACGCGATTTGACTGGAGGCCTTTCCTTCTCGCGCAGCAACACGACACGGACTGTCACTGGTGACTTCTTGGGTGTTGAACGGGGGGAGGGGGTAGAAAAGTCAAGCAATCACTCATCCTTATAATTCCTTAAAGGAGGCTTATGTTTTTCGCACGCGCCCGGGCTTCCATGTTCCGCGCCTCCCGCCGAAGCTCAGGAAAGTAGAGGCCGCCACGCAACCGCCCAGACGCTGCGGAAACGAGAGCGCCGCCCGCACTGCCACGCACCCGCCTGGCGTCAGCAAACTTGGAAGCGGGGGTGATCAGTTTCCAAACTTGAGGGTGAGCTTTTTCTGGGAGTATCGTTTCGGGTACGCAGTGTTAATTAAAGGTTTAAAGGAAACCACCTCGAACCACGCCTTTTTTCTCCAGACAGGCCTTGAGAGAATCCGCCTAGAAAGATCTTGTCGGCAGGAACGCCGCGCGCAAGCTGCTGGCGGACAAGGCTATGCACCTTGGCACCAAGTTAAAGGCAAATTGCGTCGGCTTCTCCAAGGGTTTGCCAAACTCGGAGCTCTTGTGGCAAAATCCATGGGGCTTAGCCTTAAGCCACTGATCTTGCCTGCGAATATATGGTTTGACCATGCGTTGGCGGAGGGCATCAAAAGGAAGGTATCTCAGTTGGCTACGGGCGAGGGGAACAACTCGCAGGCTTTCGTTGGGCACGTTGAGAGAGATTCCAAAAACCAGCTGTCAGGACAAACAGCTCGGGTGAACTTGAACAACCCGGCATCCAACTATTGGCATGCACCTCGCAAATGTCCATGGCAATCGGCTGCCTCTAATTACGGTCAAAAATCGAGGTGCCAGGGTTAAGCGGCGTCCTCTGTGGTGGCTAATCAAAGGGCTCCCGTGGAGGAATTTTCTTCTCGGCCCACATTTGAGGCACACCAAAGGAAAGAAGGAGTTCTGATTCTAGTGTCTGCAGCTTAGACCGGTCGCCTGAAATACAAACGGTCCAGCCCGCGCGAATCGGGGCACATAGGCGATGCTCTCCGAGGTGGCGCCGGGGCCCATCCCGAACCAGGAGCGCATGCCTCGCTTTCGACCAATGCGAGGGGGATGGGAGGAATGGGGGGGAGGGACCTCTGGGGATGTTTTTGTTTTATTGACGTTGCCATTTGTTGGGGCGGTTTGACAGGGAAAGGAATCAGAACACCATTTTGGCGATTCTGTTTTGAGACATATTCAAAAACATAATCCTGGACATGTGTCGAATGCATATTGACAAATGAAAACTAGCGTGCTGTGTGTGTCAGGCGTAGCAACTGTTTGGACCCAGTTGGGACACCGCACAGTTCCTTTGATGTACCCGCATGTACCAACGATTTCGAGCGCAACGACCTACTTCTTGCGGGGGACAATCGTGCTTTCCATCTGAGCCGCGGGTTTGCGTAGCACTATTAGACCCAGCACCGGCTCCCAGAAATAGCTGGGCCCCCGAAACCCGGCAATGCGTTTGCTTTGACACACCCAATGAGCTCCAAGCCATTCGGGCTGAATTCCTATTTCAGGCAACTTGCCCCGGGCTTTGGCGAACGGGTTCTCGCCTCCCATGGAGGGGGCGGTCGGCAAGACATAGCGCAAAGTCGGGACCTGCAGCAAATTCGGCAGCTGACTTGCAAAGCCACGGCCGGAGTCGCCGAAGCCATGCAGGAAGATGAAGACACCTACGGCTATGTCCAGGGAAAAAGGAGTGGCTGCTGTTGAAATGGAATCCAGTTTGGACAATGGTCATTCTGGAGGTTCAGCCCGAATGAAATACAATTGAATACAAGGTGGTCGGACCCTCCGAAGGGTGGGTTTGCCTGTTGGGTCCATTCTTGACAAGAAACATGTCCAAATAAGAAATACATATTGCTCGTGAAAATGACGGACTGGCAACCATCCGACGTGCGCTGCGCAGGTCTGTGACAACTACATCCGAATTCTTGCTCATCCCAAAGGACTGGAACACAAACATGTTGATCTATTTATATCATGACAAGCAAAGGATAACCCAACAGGTAAGCACACGTTTCGCTTGGTGTCAATGAGGGTTTCGGTCCATGCGACGTCCGCATTCTGAATTCATCGGGGAGGCACCCTCCTCCGGCTGGAGGCTGGGCGTCTCCAGCAGCTCCCCAAACTGGGTGAACTGGCTCGATCCGGAGGCGGAAGCTGTGGAAGACGTGGCGGAAGCGGAAGCTGAAGAGGAGGCGGAAGCCTAACTATGCCCATCCCAGCGCAGCAAGATAACGGAAAACATGATCCGCAACACCTCAAGTGGCATGGTTGGCCGCGTGGTCGTCCAGTTTTTGCTGAAAGGGGCCGGGATCCGACCTTAGAGAGAGGATTTTGGATCAAGCCTCCTGCTGACAAAAGTGTACCTTCACCCCCATGAACTACACTCTGGTGATGCGCATTCTGCCTGCAAGGCTTGACTGCGGGGTATATCTTGGGGGCGATATGGGGGTGGTGTCAAATTGGAGTCCTCCCTTTGGATGCCGGTTCAAGACAAATCAACAGCAACCGACACTGTATTGCCCAGCCAGTCCAGGGTGAGCCTTCCATCCCCCAACTGAACACTGAGGACCTCCAGTAGTGTACCATAGCTCTTCATGGCGCTCACTTGGTCAACCGAGGAGTTCTTGATTTGCGACTCTTTCATCTAGCAGTATCCGGATGCATGAGTGCATCAGTGCCAGCTGATGTGAGATATTGCCGACAGAAACAATATGCTCAGATTATGTTTCATGTTTGCCTATATAATCCTATATACACTAAAACATGAGCACTGTTGTTCCGAATAATAAACATATCTGGTGTCGTACTTGGTCTACTGGAAAATATCGATTCAATTGGAAGGAGACCCCGTTTCTTTATTCGAGCCGCTGCCGGTTTGACGCCACGGTCCATGGCATCTTTCACGCGGCCAACCAGCTCCGACTTCTCGAAGCAGTCCTGCAGACTTCATCGCGCCGGCCGATTGAAAACCAAAAAAGAGAAACGACGCGGCAAATCAACCAGGTGGGTTGGCCAAAGAGAGTCTGACCTTCTGGTTCAATATGGTCTTGCCACACAACATAATCATTGTCCAGAAGCTGCGGAAGTGAGCAGAGTACACCCCCACACGAACTGACATGGCCTCGATTTGTCATGTTTCGAATGCCCTCCAACATGCCCGACCAAAATGGCAAATTTGATATTGAGGGGGGTGTGAAAGGGGAAATCGTCGCCTCCTTTTGGGAAAAAGGAAACAAGTTGACATGCTGCGCCGCTTTTACAGGGGACAACACCCAAAGAAGATCACCTTTGGTCCAGACATGAGTTGCGCTTAGGGCAGGCCGACGTGAAACCAGATTTTCTATCATCCTCTTCCGTTTTTCTGTTTGCGCAATGGCCATAGGAACACCATGACAGTGTTTGGTTGAAACCACCTCAAGCAAAGGAGAAACGCGTGCTAGTGGAGCCCTTGCCGTCGAGCACTCGCAAGAGAAACCCATGAACGGGGATCCCTTCTCCCGAACTGCTTCCAGTTGTTGCCTTGGTCAAGAGTCTGTGGGTGCGGGGACAGCATCTATGAAGTTGCTCCTCAAACCTACCTGTGGCTGACTTTGAGCGGGGGCAGCCGCGCAGCCTCCAAAAAAAAAAAAAAGCTCTCCCAAACGTGAAGGCCATCATGTAGCTGAGTTCCAGCCACAGGAATTAACCAAACACCAACCAGAAAGAAAGGTTAAGTCTCATTTCCCGTGCAGCTTCTTGGAGCTCCATGCTTCACAAGTCTTTTCCCGCAGTGTGATGTGTGGTCACTACAGTGCTCTGAAGATAATGTCGAGCTCCTGTTCCATCTTTGCACTCGTGCAATACTTATTCAGAATCAAATCCATGGATCACACACCCACCTTCAGTGGGAGCTTTGATGAGTTTGGAGAGGGGGGCATCAAGCTAAAGTGAGAGTCGTCAATATAATATGCAGTAGACTTGCTGTCGAATCCACAAGATGTCCTCTGTGCTACATGGGGTGGGGGTCTGGAAAAGTTCAACATACCCATCCTGGATACCCGTCCCCTTTTGGTTTCCATTTGAGAAAATTCACCAAGGAGGGCTGTTTTGCAGCCAGTGTCCAGACCCATCGAGTCCTTGTGACGGATGTTCCGCTGCTCCAGAAACTGGCGTAGCTCTCGAGGGGACCAGCCGGACACATCACCTGGCAAGCGTCCAATGTCAAAACGACAGCTGCATCACTGCGAACAACAAACAACAACACACACACACACACACCTCACGTGTTTGCATTGTTCCCCCTTGCCACAGGCAGGAGCAACACATCTCAATGGTCTGCTTGATTTGCAACCTCACGTGTATCACATGATTGTCCACTTGTGGCCCACTGCATCTTGTGCTGAACATAACATTGGGCACGATCTGCGTATTCATCATAGATACATTCAAACCGAATTGAACCCTGACTGCTTAACATTGAAGGAAGCAATAAAAAAAGGTGAGTATATTGAAAATGAGTGCTGGATTAATACATCGAAGGCACAGTCCCAAGCTTGCGGAGTGCCACCCCGCTTTTGGAGAATGAGGGAAACCCAAAGGCTTGCCACCACGGACTCCGTAGGCAACACGCGCATCACACAGGTGAAACTGGCAGCAGGCTCGCTGGTTCTCGGGGTACATGTCAACAGCCAGACCGTACTCTTCTATTTGCTGAAGGCGCCAACGTTAACATAAGATTTGCTGTTCAGAGAGCCAACAAGCATGCAAGCATGCAAGCAAGCCAGTGAGCGAGCAAGCAAGCAAACAACTTGAACGATGCAAGCTTTGTTTGTTGCATGCTCGATGTCGGACTCTGACTCATTGCCTGTGGACTTTAACTACATGTTGAATCACGTGCTCTCCATCGGCCCTGCCTGTGCTAGCACATCTGGCAGATCGGCGGATCACTCCTGCTAGGCACGCAGTGTAAAGCTGGCTGCCAACCACGTTCTATGGGCAGGCGCGCAATCAAGTGCCAACATGTGCAGACGAAAGCTTTGGCCAGTACCAACGGGAAGCCACATCACATCACCTATGATTGATACCGCCCGCAGAGAGAGGCGCTTTCCTCGCCCGGGACGTCCAGCAAAGAGAGTACTGCCACGCCTGGGCGAGGTGGGTAACCCTGCACTGGTTTTTCTTCCTGCCTTCGAGCAGGCCTAGGGGCCTGTGGCAATCCTTCTTTGGGGGGCCTGGTCGCTAACACTGCAAACTCATGGCACGGACTAGAGGCCCCTCGATCAAACGAGCTGGTAAGTGGCAACTCTGTTTTGGCTTGTTTTCTGGGTGGTAAGTAAAGGGCCACCAAAAATGAGGATACTATTCCTTCCCTCGTTTTTTCTTTGGGGGAGACTTGAAAGCATGGCCCGATTCTTCAATCAGGTTGGCTTTCCTAGAGAAGGCCCAACACATATTTTGTCAATTGGGTGACCTTGAATTTACAATTACCAAATGGAACTTGGATCAACTGCCCCGTCTTCAAATCGCGAAGCGCGGATGTGATTTGGGTATACGGCGAGCGCACACCCTACCAGCACACAATTCCCTTCACCACACATTTTGGACAAGAATTGATTCTCTTCTAGGTGGTTCATGTATGTTTGCTTCGCGTTTCCGGATGTTGTTTTCATCTCAGTCAGTGTGCGTGCGTGTTCCTTTGCTCCCGCTGGGCGACTGCCACCAAAGCAGGATGTTCCTGGGTCTTTTCAGGTGGTTTCGAGCGATAATGACTAAATCACAGGCAAGGTTGGGGTAGGATTCAGGATCGGCTTAGAGAAGACCTATCTTATATAATTTCTATGAGCCATATAGTTTATCTAGGGCAAGGATTTGGAGAAGGCGAGTTTGGTGCAGGGTTACCGTTTATCGCCAGGTTAGGAGCTCTTTCGCTGGGTCATACCTCCAATGGATCATATTTCACCGAAACCCTTCCAAAATAAGCCTAAGGCATTGTTTGGTCGAAAGGCCCGGGAGGAGTAGCAAATGGTGCTTGTGAGCGCAAACTATTTTGTCTGCCCTTTGGTCGAAACTGATTAGCGCTGAGCAATCCTGGTTGAAACCATCTTCAATGTCATCCAGATTCGAGGCGGATCGAACATGTTTGTCCTCTTGTGACCACATACAAGCTGTGACGCTGATGAAGAAGCCATCCAGAATCCCTTTCGGCCACTTCATACGCGCACAATGGTGCAGGGTGCCAAGGCAAAGGAATGAGTGTCTTCCACCCGACAAGGGGGATTACCGTGACCTGCTGCTACTTGCACAGCTTTGCGACTCTCATGTTCTGGCAATCATGTGCTGTGAATGCATGCTGGCATGCATGCGCAGTTGGGGGCCACAACCTGACACAATGGAGAGGATGGGCAAGCAAACCACGCCCTCATCCATCTTTTTCTCGCTGTCTCAGTGGTGTTCCAGCTCAAAGACATAACGGCGTCTGCCCACATCCGCATGGATTCAACAACTTAAAGTCTTGAGGGATCTTGAGGGAAACCTGAAAGGGGTGCCAGGCGTTCTTGGCGTCATCATCAAGCAGCTGTTCATGCTAAAGCAAAGCAAACGGGTCTGGGTAATTGGCGGCCGTAGGCTTCCCGCAAAAAAATGAAAATTGCCTTGCGCAAGGCGCAAGGGAAAGGCAGGAGTCAGGAGACCCGGCGACCAAACAAAAAACAAGTGTTCCGGCAAGCTGAATAACATTGCCCTGGGTCCCAAGCGCCCTTTGTTTTCATGGTGGTCACTGGCCAACCCTTGCTAAAAAAAACACAGCAACAAGCGCAAGCCTCAGGGAAGCATGCGCCCTGGGGCAGAATCCTATGTACATGGCACTGGCAGCCACTTCCTCGGGGCCCGCAAACCGGTAAAGCATGCGCAGTGCCAACGGCGAGTTGGTGACGTGCTACGGGAGCAAAGGAAGATATCAGGCGCAGAACCCAAAACAGGTCAATGTGGCCTTGGTATGTGTGTGTGTACCTACTTTGGTGAGTCCCTTTTCTTTTTTCAAAATTGTTAGATGTTCTTTCTTGCTCGCAATGACAAAGCTCTAAAGAGATCTTCAATTGCGTTGTATGAGGGCGTGCCCAGGATTGGCCTGCTAAGATCTAGTACCGTGAAACAAATGAGACCCGCAGCAGTTGCGTCTGGGCAGTCAGACCGAAGTAGAAGAAGCATTCGCAAGTTGCCCGCGCCCAAGGCTCAACAACGCCACCCGCTCTCAGATTGTTCGAAACGGAAGTGAGACCCCCAGGCCTAGTGGAAGACTTTTGGGGGTCGGTCGCAACCATCTTTAGTGCCGAGAATCTCGGATGGGCAGGCAGCAGTGGCCATGCTCAGTGGCTAGCCCCTTCTGTTGCACATTGAAACGCTAAAACACATTGCTGGACGCAAAACATGTTGATCGTTTGATCGTCAGCAACCAGAGCAAATAGAACATCGGCCGCTGCCCCTGCCTAGCAAAAAACAACCGCGCAAAGCTGTTGCTCGCGCTCGAATTGCCTTGCAGCTTCGAGCCACCGTGCCTTTTCCAGTAAGTGGGACGTTTTTGGATTCGGGCTAGCCCGACACCCATCAAAATAATGTCCCCAAAAAGCCCTAAGCACACTGGTCGTGCTGGTGTCTCGCAAAATCCAGACCTAACCTACTGCAAGCTACTGTACATGTTTAAATTTGATGCAAAAATGGATCGCTCCAGTGGCGTGGCTATGTTTTTCTCTAACCCATTCTTCAAGCATACACAATGAGGAGAGGGATCCAAATTTGCGCGCCGACCTTTGAGGTTTTTGAGGTTGAGATCCCCGAAGCTGTTTGCCATGTCTTCTGTCAAAGTGCAAGAGCAACTTCCGAGATTGTAAATTTGCGTAGCCAAATTTCCAACTACTGTGCAAATACCGGAATGGTTTCGGAAGGTGCCCTCTGCTCAAGACGTTTGAGGCAAGGGATTCAAGTCTATGCAAATGCCTGCGGAGAGCGGCGTCTGAACTGCCGGATGACATCGTCCAAGAGCTTTGGAGCAAAGCCCTTATCCCTCAGCACCCTCTGACATTGCTCACGTCGCTTTTCAAACTCATCGGCAACATCACGCTGAACTTCATCACTCGGTTGCCCAGCTTCGATGACGATCACATCAGAATTTACCCTGTGGCGGTAGAGCTCCTCATACATCCTCGCCGGCGGCTCGAGTCTCGCAACATGGAAAAGGCAATCCAACTCACACAGCAGGACAAGCGACGGAAAAAGAACTGGGTCAAAAACTTGTAGACGCCCCCCACAAAAACGCCTACGCAAGAGGGTCAGGTACTTCAGCGGGACCTCCTTTTCGAAATGACGAAGATGCTCCACCTTCGCACGGTGCAACATCCGGCGGAAGGCTTCTTGAGGATCAATCGCAAAGTAAACTACGAACGTCGGCACATGGCGCTCGTCTTTCTCGACATGCTCCAGGTTCTTCTCGAACTCCTGGTACAGGCCTTGGCAGAACGCAAGCCACGGAGAAGCTCAAGCTTGGCCCATAGGACAAACATTTTGGGCCTTGTTCAACGATCCTGGTCTGGCCACGACGTGAAACCTAGGGCCCATAGGCCACACCAATCAGGTCGACAAAATATGGGTCACTTACGACTTACCATCATATTGGTATGACCCCATGAGCCACCCACCAAAACGTGCCGACGATGGTCCGGAATCCATCATGTCCGACTCCTGCCCAGGGTGTGGACAACAAAGTATGGGAAAACAACAAGGGACTTCCACTGGGCATTGCTAGCATGATTCCTCTGGGTCAGAGTTGAGTTTACTCGGCTTCATCCTAGAGGGTCGGCCTGCAGCTAACAGAAACTGCTGCCTGTTTCTAGGAGATCCCTTGTCCTTTGGCCCAACCCTGCCTTGAGAGCGCGGCAGAAAACTCGAACTGCGCTCTGCAAAGACCTCTCGGACACTGCGTGCGTGAGCCTCCTGGTTGCAATGTCCTTATGGTGTTTAAAGATCATTTCCTCCAGCTCCTTTACCGCCTGCCACGATTCAGCAAATTGGACGGAGAGGTTGCCAGCTTGCAAACGTCAACTGAGTTTGAGCCCAAAGGGCCGTTGGCCAACTAGAACAAAATGCTGCGAAGAGATAAAACACGGAATCTGCCAAAGTCAGTGGACCTGCGGAGGGCTCAATGTGGCACCCCTCGCGCCTTCCTCTTTTGTTTTGGAGACCCCTGTTTGAAGACCTCGTAGAAATTGTTCAGCAAATGCCACCACAGGTCACTCGGCTCGCGGAAGACTTCAAAGCCTTCTGAGCTTACTAGTGCATCCAGCAGAGTCGTCTTGCCGCAGGCGATGATGCCGTCCACTATGATTAGCAGATGCTTCTTCGTCAACTGAAGCATGGCCTTCTCTAGGACACTTTCATGAACATGGGGCAACTCTTCCTTGTCGTGGAGATACCTGTGCACCAAGATGCTTTGGACCAGACCTGCCCTGGCCTGTTGGCAATGATGCGAGCACTGGTGTCCACCAAGCTAGCAAAGCTTGTTGGCTTGGTCTCGTCAAAGCGCGGGGGGCGGCTGCCCAATTCCCATGAGTCTTTGCTGGTGACCAGGTGCTTTGCCAAACCTTGAAGTCCTTGGCTAAAGCAAGGGATTGACCAAGCCTCTGCTTATTTGGCACACAGTCTCTTGCCGCAAAATGCCCACAACCAAAAACAAAATGAAGAATCGATCCAACATTAGGGAAGAGTCGCTTCGACCCACTCTTCCGTAGCAGAATGCAATCTTCACATTTGCGTTGAGCACTTCTGGCAAGCCTTCCCCAGATTCTGCCGCCCGCAAAGGTGGCAGCTGATTCCTTCCGCAGTATTCTCATTGAGTTCATGCCCGCGCAAACATGTGGGGACGTCTCTCTCGCACTCTCTCGCGGAATGGTCCAATGCTTGTGCAAATATCCCCGCCCATTCTGCTAGCGATCGGGGATCCTTGGGCAAGTGACACGAAAGTGCAGAGTGATTTTAGAAAGTCAAGCTATGACATCGCACAGCCAAACAAATAAAACTACAAAACTTGCTGTTGGTTTTGCCGGCTTCCTTGTTCTCATCCCCTATCAAAGAAATGGAGCCAGACTGTAACTCCCAGGAACTCACAGAGCCTTCAGCACTGTTCTGCGTCGGCAATGTGGGGATGCCGGCACGGCGCAAAGCTGCAACTACCCGCATGAGCTTCCAGATGTTCTGACACTGGCGTTTCTGCTCGGCATCCTTTACTAGGTATGTCTTTGCTTCCAAGGCAATCTCCTGCGGCAAGAAACAGTTTCAAAACACAGAGATGCAGACGTTTTAAAACACATGGATACAATTAACTAAGTTGGAAGTTGCGACACAACAAAAACAATCTGTCCACACTTGCGCAATGCCAAACCAATTGTTCACCATCTCTTGGCATCAAGTGGTTGGTCGCCGCTTATTCGAGCTCACAAAATGCGACTTGCGATTCCCCTGGAGTTGCCCCATCCAAGCAACCAAACGGGGACCTATTTTGAAACGGACACACATCCAGAATGTAATCCTGGACCCTAGTTTCAGCCGTAGGGGCGGGACATAATCCTCAAAAAAAGAGCTAGATATCGGACGTTGGACGGCGCAGAATGTCCGTGTCGGACGGCGCGGCTTGCCAAGTCGGACGGCGCTATGGTCTGTGTTGGACGAAGCTTCGGACCGTGTCGGACGCTGTTTGCGTTGGACGGTGACTGCACGGGCTAGAAGGGAAAGAACAAACGCCGCAAACTGTGCCAGGTAATGTTTCCGTGTCGAAAGGCACACGTCGGCTGCAAAGGCGTCAGGCAGGGCAGCGCGCGGCATGGAAACGCACGCGCGTCGCAAACTTAGCAAAGTCATGTCTGTGTCGGAAAGCGAGTCCGCGGAGGCTGCGCGCCGGACGGCGGGCGCGCCGCGGAAACTGGACGCACACGTGTCGGCCGCAGAGGCTGTGCGGAGTCTGCGCCTATCATTTAGCTTGCGCGCGTGTGGTGGCCGGTGGGTGGATATCATTTGGCTTGTGCGTCTAGCGCGCGCGTGCGCGCGCGTGCTTGTGCGGCGCTATTTACAAAATCTGTGCTGCAAGAATGGGCGCGCCTGGTTGCAGGTCTGAAAGGGAGCGCCAGTCATTTGATAGTGAGTGTGCTGCTAATCGAGGGTCTGGACCCCCATACCCGAGGCTTCTCCAGGGGACCATGCCTTCTCAATTCTTGGAGCCGCTCTAAAGGGCGCTTGATGATTGCTTTCCCAGCTGTCCCCCCCTCACAAGAAGGTTCAACGCACGGCCCCTGGGACTGGAAATGGAACCCTGTTGTTTTCCCTGTGGTCTAAAACCAGCTAGGATCCCCAAGAAATCAAACAGGGGATCCGATCAGGGCGACGCAGAACCGGCTAAAAGGACCGGAAAAAAAGAGAAGGCACGATACCCTGGCCGATGTGCGATTGTACTGTAAGGTACCTGCCAAACACTGACCAACAGAAAAGCTGAACTCTTGAAAGCAACAAAGCTTAAAGCAAACAAACCAACGACAGCCAGCAACAAACAAAACAGAAAACCGAGAAAGCCAAGAAAACGAGGCAACGAGACAACCAAAAACAAAATAGAAAACCAGACAGACAAAACAACAGAAAGCGAAAAGACCAGAAAAAAACAAGAAGACAAAAAAAAAACAGAAAACCAGAAAACATGCAAGCAAACTAGAAAACCTAAAACACACGTAAAACCAGAAAGCGATACAACCAGAAAAACAGAAGACTAGAAAACCAGAAGCGCTGAAAACCAGAAAGCCGGAACACCAGGAAACCAGAAAGCCAAGACCACCAGAAAACCAGAACATCTGAAAAGCAGAAAACCAAGAAAACCAGAAAACCAAACAGCAAGCTATCGTACGATAGAGGTTAATATCAAACATCCACAGAGGAAACCAACAAGAATCGCGTTCCAAATCGATTTTAACTTCGCGTTTCTAAACGATTCGCTTCCCATCTCCTGCAGTAGTTTATCAGACATTGATCACTGGGCGGCGAAAAGGACTCAAGCGATGGCTCCACGTCGAGCAACTCTTTCTTCATTTCTGCGAGTGCTTGAGAGGTGTCATGTTGATCGCCTCCTACTGCGCTTGCCGCAAGTTCGGCTGTACGATTCATGGAATCCACATACTCGTCCATGGCCTTTCGAGATCGAGACACTCCTGGCGAACGTGAGAGAAACGAGACTCAAGCACCAATGGACGACCACAAACATCAGGCCACAAAGCAAAGGGCAATTGCTTTCAAGAACACCTTGATACACCTTGATCCAGTGAATGTTTCGACTGGGGACACTCCTGGGCAAGTCATCTTGTCGAGGCTGACCGAGTTCTTCGGCGCTTGCTTTGAAACCAACAAGCTGCGGCAAACATGCAGCCCATCAAGCTCTGGCCTATGAGATCCTGTGTTGCAACAGAACTTGTCGTGAGATTCAAAGCATCCAAAAAAAGCAGTGCACTCTCACAACGCACCGCGGCAAGTGCTTGTGGAGAGGGCAAACACCGCACAGCCTCTCTGCAGGTCTGATCAGTATGGGCTCTAAGCAGGAAAAGCATGATCCAAACTATGGCTTGGATGCTGATTAATTATACTTCTTCTCCTTCTCTTCCACTCCCGGCTCACGGAGAGACAAACTGTTCGGAGCACAGTCCGGGCACAAAACCCAGCGGCTTCGGCATCAAATGCTTAAGTGCAGGCGGTGTCAGGAGAGGCAACCAGAAAATAACCGTCATTGGAAGTCTTCCGCAGCGAACATCGGAGCATCAAGTATCATAGTCGAGACAACCAAGTTTGCGCCCGCCAGAGCTCATCCGTAAGGCAAAGTTTCAGTGTCAGACCCCTTGACGCATGCAGCTTCTGGTCTGTTAAAGCCCTCCATGAAAGATGCGTGAGGTGTGTGTTGGGACCGGGTGGGACCATCCCCAACCCCGTGCACGGGGTTCTAATAGGCCAAGCCACAAAGCAAAGGCCAGCAGCACACCCATCCAGACACGCGCCATGGCCAGAGCTGAGGCCGATTGTAAGCGTCCGTCACTTCCCTGACTAACATTGCATGCTGGCTATTGGTCCATGCCAAGTAGACCTCAAAAGGTAACATGATGCCAAAACAGGTCCCAAGTCAGGGTGAGAGTAGAGCTGGAAGTCAGAACTTAAATCGTCTTAGGTTGAGTGACTTCTACAAATGCAGTAGAAAGAAGGTGAGCCAAGTACGCGATATGGCACATTCATGGATACCTTTGGCGCATGATCTGGACGTAGTGGGGGGCTTTACCAACTTCTGGCAGCATGTTGAGATAGATCGGTGGCTCGCATCTGACTCGCTGAAGCCTGGCTTGGCGCCGAACGCCCTGGAACGTCCTCTCGGATCGACATCACTTTAGCATGTGACAGTGTGAAAGCTGGGGACTCATGTTTGAGAACCAGCATGAAAGCTAACTTTAACATTGGAGGAGTCCGGAGGTTTGACACATACCCAACTCATGGCTGCACAGTCGACCTAAACAAGGAGGGGAAACAAGTCACGAGTGGCGATGTTGGTGCTTGGTTTGGCCCAACTTTGAGGATGAAACTCGAGAGTTGCTCTGGAAAATCAAGCAATGTTTCAGGTACTGCAGCAGCCAATGCAAGTGACAGTCCACACAGGGTCAGCTCAACATTTTGCAAAATATGTCTGTGGGTTGACATATGTCGTTCACCTACGTCTTGGAAATTGGCACAACATTGGGCCTAAAAGACCATGTTCATACAGCTCCCTGCAATATGGCCAGAACAGTCATTTTCAAATACTGGAAAACAAGGGGACCAAAAGACCATGGCGGGGCGCCGGCTCGTGTGTTTTGGTCATTGAGAAATCGGTGCGGCAATGCACTGTTCAAGATTTGCAAGCAGGAGAAGGAAACAGGTCCCAATAGCCGATCTGCAGAACATCAAACTGAGTGACAGCTGCTCAAATTACAGGATACTTGCAGTAAGACGTTGTGGGCACTGGAGTCATTGTATCAAAAACAATGTCAGTCCGCTGAAACTATGACTACTCTCTCTCTCTCTCTCTTTCTCTCTCCTTCGCTCTTCAGAAGCAGTAGACCCCCTTGCTGTGGGTGTTGGCGAGCCTGCAGATTTCTGGAACGGGCCCTTGCAGCATGACGCCTAAGCAGAAAGCCGCGAGCCTCCCATCTCCCCGGATGGCTGAGCTACCAGGCGTGGAGTAAGGGCCGGGCATCCTCAGGCGAATCCGACCAGGCGAAAAGATGTGGGAGCAACATGAAGAAAACCTGGCGGCTTTGCCGCTGACGAACGAAAACAGGCCAAGACCAACAGAAGGCTCTCCAGTTGAAACATCCCGGCCTCAGGGAAGGCCTGAACTTAGACCAAACACCAAGGTAATATTTTCGGGGCGCTCTCTGGATCTTTGCGAGGGGGCCCTCAACACCAGAAAAAAAAGACTTGAGGAAGACGACCATCCAATGCCCTTTGTTGGAAGA